TTATGTAGTGTAAATAAATAAATAAATAAATAAATAAATAAATAAATAAATAAATAAATAAATAAATAAATAAATAAATAAATAAATAAATAAATAAATAAATAAATAAATAAATAAATAAATAAATAAATAAATAAATAAATAAATAAATAAATAAATAAATAAATAAATAAATAAATAAATAATAGCCTACGGGTTGGTGCCAAATCGCGCTAAATATCAAAATCAGATGTCAAATTCATCGTCAGGACCATTTTGAAGCCAACAAGTGGCCGCCAACCTTGATTGCAAAATTTAGTCGCCGCGGGGGATTGAACCATCAAGAGTATTATTCACCACTTTTTTGAAACCGTTCAGCGAAAACGAAACATGGTTTTGTGGTCCATACATGCGTCCCTACAATATGCAAGAAACCATTTTAAAAAAGCGCGGTTTGCCCTGAGGACCCCTCTTGTAAGCCGAGGAGGCGAGACCTCAGGATGCGAGAGCAATTTTCATTTGACCCAGATTTCTTGCCTCCTTATAGGCTTATCATTAGTCCTAAGGGATCGGTACCTTACGATAGCGCCGAAATTGGCAATTATTTGCTACAAAAGGATGATTTCAGGAGATTACGACATGAGGTGTGGCGACGAGGGTATTCACGTCTACAGATGCTATGTGGATGGAAAGGGAGTGTACGTCGGTCAGGCGTGGATCGACAAAAATGGCAAAGTCAATATGTGCAAATAAACCTTTTTACAAACTGTCAGAAGGAATCGCAGAGTTTTGTCCATGAAAGCATCAATGAGGGTCAGATCAATGCGGAGAATCAATAGGCAAACAAAGTGCCCTTTTCTAGGGCTCTGACCAAGGTCGACCCTACCGTTAGTACTTTTCGGAAATTTTTTACGACCCCCTCTTCCAATCAAAAATTTCACGACCCCCCTTCACCACCCTCGCCATCATGGTCGCTGTTTCTATAGTATTTAATTCTGAAACCTTCTGAGACCAGTCGTCACACCCACTTTTCCCTTTAAATTGGCCATCGAGCAGGGGGGGGGGGGTAAAGACACAATAAAACGGCACAATTTTTCTCGCTACTCAAACTTCGCCCCCTAAAACTCATCCGCCAATTATCCATGTTCTCTCACGCAACACTCCAGTTTCACATGTGAATTCATGAGGCTAGAGCGAGTACGACCCCCCCACCTACAAACTCAACAAAATACGACCCCCCTCCCCGTTGGTACTTGTCGCAACATAGGATTGACCCTGGTTCTGACCCGTTTCTCATGGTTTTTTCCTTGATATCCGCCCACGCACACCTCTACCTTGGTTTCTAATGAGCTGCATTCCATCATTAACTCTGCCTTGAAATCAGATGTCCCTCAAGATGATGAAAGCAGGGTAACAGACCTCAGTATCAGAAGTATGTAGAGCTCTTTACTGAAGAAAATACCCTCATGCATAGTCCGCTCTATCTCTTGATATTCAGTGCGATTTCGAAGATTTGCTGGATTGATCACTGATATCTTCTGAGCAGTTAGTACAAGAATTGTAAGAAGCTGGTCATATACTTTTCAAGCAAATCGAACCATTTTTTCAACCACTCTTTTTCGCGAGCGCCGCAGTTCACTTGCGGCTGATAGGGGTGATTGCCGTATGACCGACCTCAACGAGTCGATTGATTGGAATGAAAAATTGATAAAATGGTCAAACGTTCGAAGCGAAGTGCTGAAGTGCGAACCATTTGTACTCGAGCTTATGTCCAGCACCGCCTCATTTCGATCAAAGTCTTCACGCTATGGTAACATCATTCAGATCTCACCTACTACACTTCTTCTGATATTCAACCCGCCAATCCCTTCTATTCGTGTCTGTTCCTCACTACGATAGCTCTTCACCACTTATTTGTTCGGTTGTGTCGGAAGCACGGAAATGGAGCTTGGGCGCTCATGTCCTTAGGGGGGACATTGAAGTGAGTGGACCACTCATAGAACTCGGGACTAAGCCTTAGGGAGGGGAAAGGATTCTGGGAGAGGATGTGAGCAACCATTGTTCTCCCTGGTGTTTATTTCCAATCCTGGGCTTAGTCCTAGTGTCACCTTACCAGCGGTTTTTGAATGCCTGTTCTGAATGTCCCCCCTAAGGACATGAGCGCTGAAGCTTGTAGTGTAGTGTTTTTAAATTAGGATGCAATACAAGTGTGATGGGCATGCTGTATTTTGAAGTACGGGTAGTACGCGAAATGAGATCAAGAGTGAACAATGCGGCCGCGTATCTTACCTATACGTAAAGTGACGAGACGCTATGAAGTAACTCACACATTCCGGCTTGTCATGCATGCCAAGTATTGCCCTCACCCCCACCCCCTAGGTAGGCTACACCCCTTAGCTCACGAAGTCCCTCAATTCTCGTGAGACCATAGCAGCAGTCCTCACTTACATACATTTCGCATCTACCGTATTCGAAAAATACGGCGTGCCCGTCCCACTTGCATGGCGCCGTGACTTTAAAAAAGACTAATTGTGAACTGAAAAAACGTGCTTTTGCACCGAATTCCCTCCTTCCCCCTACATTTTAACATGACCCTATAATTCTCGATAATACTGTATCATAAAATTGATGATCAATTTCGCTTTGGGCGCTTTCGCATCACACGATTTGGGAGATTAGGAGATTGAGAGACTAAGGAGTTCAGGCAGTTAGAAGGTTGCGGTGAAAAGGTCAAACACGTATGGATTTCACAAGAGACGCCAACCCTCGCCTAGCTCTGAGTACGCCTAACCTAGTAATCTCCTATTCTCCCAATTTATAACTATCTGATCAACCCAGCTGATTCCTCTAATGTCCTCTTCTACAAGCTTCCTGCTGCCTAATCTCCTAATCTCCCTAACTGTCAAATGTGAACGCGCTTCTTTTTTGTTCCAATATCCATGGCCGTAAAATTGGATAGCCTTTCCATATCGGAATCTGGGATCAGTCAAGTTTCCACTTTAGTCCCTCTTCGAACAACGGCATGTCCCACTTTGAAATTAGCAGCCGAAGAAATCTTCATGTTGGCTTCGATATGCGCCTTTGCTATCGTCAGTCTGCACGGTCAGAAAAATTCCGTAAGTGTTTCTAATTGCTTGTTAGAATCCGAGATGACGCCAAAACAGTCCGTGGGTATGCTCGATTTTCGAATACTGTAGGCGCGTAATGTACGCAGTGACACACAAAATGGTATGAGAACGGATCTATCTATAAGCCTGGGGTTAGAATGTTTCGAGGTGCGAGAGCGATCTACATCTCATCTACAGTATTCGAGCAGCGAGCATATGCTTCGGACTTGTATTACACCACTGAAAGTGTTACAAAAGCGGTTTCGGCGCTATCTCAATATACAGTGGTATCCTCTATTGTAAGCCTAAGGCGGTTTGCAACTCCGAGGAATATTGTGAGGTCTTTCTGGGGTCTCTTGTCCCTCGCCTAGGGCATAGCCTAGTTTTTAAGAAAGCGTGCATGTTTATTACGCTTTTGAATGCATTGCCCCCGTATCTTGCGATAGCTCTGCGCTTCTTTGCGCGGAGATCGCGCACGCCAGTGAGGGCGTGGATTACGGTGGCTTTCTATGAGCCGTGCTGAAGAATCGTTCCACAGTACTATGTGCTTGCCACAGCCAACAACAATTGCGACACGCGTCCCACATCTCTCTCATATTCACCAATTCAGCACATTTTCAACGTCGTGGCACTCGTCCCCGGTCTTGCGTTCACATTCAAGTGCTATGTCCACAACAATGATAGAAGCTTACTTGCCGTGGTGAGAAATGGGTTCTTTCGAAAAAAAGACGCTGTTCTCCCTAGTTCTTTCAGATTCTCATCACAGCCCATTGGGGTTTTTGTCTTCTCGCATTTTTGAACGAACTATTTCTCAACATAGAAGAAAAGTGAGTAAATTTGGATTTTGATTCTTTTTCACGGTTGGTTTTGGAAAATAAAATGAATTTGCAGTTATATAAGCTTACGTCTTCTGTTACTCGGAGCCCTCGGCGCTAAGGCTTATCAGAATGTCCAGTTGAATGGCAACTTACAGAAAACAGATTTTAGCTCTGTCTGGA